AAGTTTATGGGGCATTAATTATATGTCAGTTACTATTCTAAGTGTTTTGTATATAATACACATTTCATTTAATCTTTGTAACAACCCTATGAGGGTAGATACTAAATATCCCTGTTTTACAGTTGAAGAAGCTCAGGCTCAGAAACGTGAAGTCATCTGTGTAAGGTGATCCAGTCAGTAAAGTCAGGACCAGAAGATGAACTTAGGCAGTCTGACTTCAGCCTCACTCCCGTAGAACCTAAGGGTACAGAACCTGCTATTCTTGGAAAGGAAGTAGAGATCTAGGGAGATAGTGGTCTTAATACACAGCCTGAAGGGAAGAGGAACCCCAGGAAATGAAGTAGTGGCAATTTTACCAAGCAGAGCAGAATTGAGCTTCATCACATGGGCCAGTGACACTCGGAGAGACACCTTGGAACAGATATGTTGCCTTAACTCTTGCAGGCTTTTTCAGTTCCCTATGTAGACTCCATTGCCTCTATACTTCATGGCCTTCAACCTTTTGTTTGTTTGTTTTCTGGATCTGTAGATTTTTGCTCTTGTTAGTGTGCTCTACCTAGCAGTTTTCCACGTAGCTGATTGGCTACTTTTACTGTGATGTGAGCTGGTGAACCATTTAACACTTTGTTAGAGGTAAGCGTGAGTGGGTCTGAATAAGGTTTCCAGAGAGTCACCTTTCAGTAAAGCACATGAGCTTTGCAGCTTGGATTGAGGACATCCCTGTATATCTGAGTTGCAGCATTTATTGATTGAGTCCAGGTGCCAAACGCAGTTCTGGCTAAGTTATAAAGGGCAGGGTGTTGCTCTACTTACTTTACCTCCTGGTGTTTAGGACAGGGAGGATTGAATAATAGTGTCTTATGCCTTTAGGAGACTGCTGTGCCATCATCTTAGCAATCAAAGAATTTTGTCTCCTTTCCTGTATCTTTCTTGTCAGACTGTTGCACATGGAATTTTTTTTTTCATAATTAAATATTATAAATGATGTAACAAGTAGGGTGAACACTTCAAAAATAATTTTGAGTTATTTTGAGTAAGTTTCATTTTTGGCCCTTTAAACCATTTTCTATTTTTATCAGGTCAATTAAGTTATCACTGGAAATGATTTGCAAAGAAACAATATATTTCTACAGCAGGATTATTTTTTATGTACATGGAAAAGTTTGTGGTATAAATATTGTATGTTGTAACTGGGCCATTTGCATATTGTAAGCCCTGTTCATTGTTTCTTAATTTATTAAATTTCTTGGTCCTTCATGCTCCCACTTCAGGCTTATGATCAGCATTTAAATATGATACTGGGAGATGTGGAAGAAACTGTGACTACTATAGAAATTGATGAAGAAACATATGAAGAGATATATAAAGTAAGTCATGCAATTCTGTTCATAGCTTTTAAAATGTCAATTATTCTTAACATCCAACAGCTTAACACTTACTTATGGAAAGCCTGTCATGTTTGACACTTAGTCATGGCTCATTAGAGTGTAGCAATTACAAGCAAAGTCTTTGGGGTCAAACGGACCTGGTTTCCAGTACTGGCTTGGCCACTTCCTACCTGGGGTATGTTGGACAAGGGAATTAACTTTGCACACTCAGTCTCCATTGGTAAGCAGGAATACTACCACTTACCCCATAGGGTTGCCAAGATTCAATGAGATATGACACTGTAAGATGCCTTTGTGTGCTAATATGTAGCAGTAATACTGGAAAATGTTCTTTTGTTTGATGTGGAGTTGATGTATCAATACTTAATAGAAACTAAAACTGAGAAATTTAAAAAATACTCGTTAAAAATAATCTATTCTGTTAATGTAAGTAACATTTTTATGAACAATAACTATATTTTCTAAAACAATAGTGAGATGTGTCTTCATTTTACATTTTTGCAAATGTCTTTGTTGTGTGGCTTAATTAATGACATCTAGCTTCTCACATCTTTTTTCTGCATTTAATCTGTTGTGATATATTACAGTTGAAGAAAATCTGACCTCACACAGATAGGTAGTTGGTAAAAGAAGGGGTATTTTTGTGGGTACTTGCATTTGAGGCTCCATTCAAACTCAACAGGTAGTGGTTTCTTAAAGGTTAGTTGCAGTGAGGAATCTGAAACCCTATCAATGAACTTTTCATACTCTTATTATATGCAAATTCATTGGTCTACCTTGCACTTTGTTTTTCTTTTTTTGAAGATTTTATTGGGGAGTTGGGGGAGGGGAACAGACAAGTTGCTGTCCTTTTGTTCTTCAGTCTAGTTGTGGACGACGTCGCTTCACTGGCCCATGTTGGACTTATCATTGCGCTCTTCCCGGGTGAGGCAGTCGCTCGCTGGCTGTTGGACGGTCGCTCACGGTGGCTCACGAAAGCATACGCCAGCTGCTGGCCAGCCCCAGGGACCTCCTCTATAAAATGCCAATGCCTGCGCTTGCCTCCCAGGATTATAATAGGATGCACTGAATTTGGTGCATACAAAGCTGGTGGCATGTGGTGACCAGTGGCCGTTATGAATATGGATAAATCTGTCTCCATCAGTTTCTTTTCTGAGCTTCAATATTTTTTCCAGCATTCTTATTGAAAAATTTTCTACGTTGGATGTTACCTCAAGCTCCATACATCTAAAACTAAACTGGCGTTCTTCACCTTCAAAAACTCCATTTCTGTTCATGATTTTGTCAGTTATTTAGACCATAAATCTCAGAATGTTTTGAACTTTTCCCTTTCACTCACACTGATCAGTAACTAATTCAGTTGATTCTTTCTTCATGTTGATTTATGTGCCATTGCTTTTCTTTCCCACTGCCATGACCCTAGCTCAGGCACTTTTCTTCATGTCCTCCTCCATTCTAGCTCATGCATAACTGACTGCCAGAGTAATTGTCCTCAAACATTGCTTTCATTTGTCACGGTCATGCTTAGAGACTTTTAAGGCTTTCTATGGCCTATAGAGCAAAGCACAAGTTCAGGCTAAGTTAAGACCATCCATAGTGTGGTTGTAAGTTTCTAGTCTCCTCTCTGACAACTCCCCTAGCCACTGTCTGCAGAGCGTGCCCTCTACAGTCCTGCTTCTGTGTCTTCCCATAACATTTCACCTAGCTGGAATGTTCTCTCTTGTCTCTTTCCTGCAAAGCCTGTTTCAAGAACCAGCTCAGCCCTACCTCTCCTGTGACACTTTCTCTGACCACCTTGACCTTCTTTCCTCGTTTGGTTGGAACTTCTGGCACTCGGAGCCGACATTGATCTTATTCACTTTTTTGTTTGTATATTCCTTTTCATATTATGAATTACTGGATGGCAGAGACCAGGACATGATTCATTCTGTTCCCCACAGGGCCTTGTTAGCTACAGGCAGTAAGTATATGCTCAGGTTGTTAGAGGAGTATGGGGTAGGGGAAGGAGTAGAGATAACGGAAGTATAGTCTGTTAGAGAGGCAAGGTGCATACTATTAGTTAAGTTTTTAAGTTAACTGGGAAGTGGAAATAGCATGAATAGATGAAAAATAATAGTATTCTAAATTCATTTTAATGTAGTTTCAACTTCTGGTATATAACTTGCTAACCAGTTTTATTAGGCTGTTAATATTTTGCCTTTTTATTGATTTTTTTTTTTTGAGGATGTTAGTAGATCTTTTTTCCAAGATTTGACAGTGTTGTGGTTTGTAACAGCCCGTTAGCCTCTCTGTATCTGCTTCCCTGACTGAAAACATTAGAAGATTGACAGTGAGCCCTTAGATTCCATTCAAATGTAAAAATATCTAGTTCTGAGTTCTGTACTAAATAATTAGGGGAAAACACACACACTAATTTAATTTGGAGGTAATACTTTGTCACAGAACAAAAAAGAAATAAAGGTAGAAAGTATTTACTTATACAGGAAGAGAACTGGGGGTGGGGGGTGATATTAATAATATGTGTTGAGTAACTACTGTATGACAAAGACTTGCATGCATTATCACATTTAATCTCCCAGTAACATTGAGGTCAGTGGTATCCCCATTTTCTAGCTGAGGAAATCAAATTCAGCTAGGAAGATATGGTAGGGATTTCAAACCTGGGCCTAACTGGCTTCAAAGCCTGCAGGGTTCTTTTCTCTGTATCAGGGCCTGGGGCTCAGAGTAATTGATGATGAAATTGGTGAACAGTGAAATCTTGAAGCTAGCAGGATAGCACTAAGTTCTTCTGGATAGGTCAGCTGAACTAACATGAGTAGACTGAGTATAAGACATTGTCACATAAAAATTTCTAGGATCTGGCACGTCATGCTTAGTTCCTACCACTGTGGGCTTTAAAATCTGATTTGAAAAGTGCCTAGTACACAGAAAAGTTTCAGGTACCTTGAAGGTGAGTAATTAGGCAAGATATCTTAGAGTATATACTAGATATGAGAGCGTTCTACCCTAAGGTAAACATACTTTAATAGTAGACAGATGGAAATGGCAGAGTTTGGAGAACTAACTCTGCTAAATGCCTGCTGTGTGTCAAGCACTGTGCTATCCATTTTATATACATCATATTTAATTCTAACAGCCCAGTGAAATAGGCCTGGGTTAAAGCTATTTGCATTGCTATCTCTACGAAAGTGTATAGTATGCAGCATTTCCCAAACTTATATAACTGTAGGACTTTTTATCTTAAGAATACGTATTTCTATGTAACAAATGGCCCCAAAACTTAGTAGTTTAAAAGCACACATTTATTAGCTCACAGTTTCTGTGGGTCAGGTACCAGGCACAACTTAGCTGGATTCTCTATTTCAGGGCCTCTCATCAGGCTACACAAGGGCTGGGGCCTCATCTCAAGGCTCACCTGGGGCAGGGCCCGCTTGCAAGCTCACTTTCATGGTTGTTGGCAGGATTCTGTTCCATGAGGACTGTTGGACTGAAAACCTCAGTTCTTTGCCACAGGGACCGCTAACCACCTGGAAACTTGCTTTATCAAACCCAGCAAGAGTTGTCTAGCAAGATGGAAGTCACTATTTTATCATAATAGTGACATCGTCAGCATTGCCTTTGCAATATTCCATTGGTTAGAAGCAAGGCACAAGCGTCACACACACTCAAAGGGAGGGGATTACACAAGGGTGTGACCACCAGGAGATCACTGGGGGCAATCACAGAAGCTGCTCACCTTGGAAAATGCTGCCATGTTCATTTCTGTTCTTTGGATCTCCGGAAAACTATAATTGAGTTAATGGAAAATTATTATGCATGAAGTGGATTCATATGAAGGGAAGGGAAGGAACTTTTTACTTCAGAAATATGATGACTGAGTAGGCTAGTTTGAGTGAAATATTGTATTTCAGTTGTTTTGATGAGCACAGACTCCTTCACTAAACTTAACTGTCCTAAAACTAGATGCGCCTTTTGCAACTTGAAGGAAACTGGAAGGAAGTACTCCTTCATAATAGCAGACAGCAGACGTATGATATTTGTTTCTCTCAGAGTGATTCTTAAATTGTGTTCTTTGAATCAGGAGTATTAGCATTACCTTTGAGTTTGTTAGAAATGCAAATTAATGGGCCGCCTCCTGACCTACTGAATGAGGTTAACAGCAACACCTTCTAACATGGCTTTTCCAATGTCTTCCTCCAGAGCCTATAGGTTTGGGAGGGGCTTGGGCTACTTTGCAGGCATAGCTGACACTTTTACCTAATGTTTTGCCAATGTGTGTGAAGGTTTCAGACATTCCACATCTGTTTCCTTACTGCCTAAGGCTTGACCTCTAGGCTAATGCCCAAAGATATACGCATTTCATATGTGGGAGTGCGGTAGCACATAGAAGCAACATGTAATGAAATGGCTCGGCACAATAGAGTTTTATTTCTTGCTCACATAACAGTCAGAGTGGGCTTTTACGCCAGCACAATAACTTTCTTTCAGGTGTTCAGTCAGGGACCCGGGCTTCCTCTATCTTGGAGCTCTGCCATCCCTCAGGTTCACCATTACCTGAGTATCCAGTGGTAGGGGGAAGACCACAGAGGGACATTCATGGGAGTTCTATGGGTCAGTCACTTCTATTTACTTCCCACTGGTTAAAACCCAATCTCATGGTCATATCTGGTCATATCTGGTTGCAAGGGAGCATGGGAAATGTAGTCTAGCTGTGTCCCAGAAAGAGGAGAATGGATTTTGATGAATAGCTCATTTCTGCCCTAGTTGTTGATATCCAATAAAAGTAAACAGTTAATAGATTGGTTCCTTGTGCTGCAAAGGTAAGTGATCACGTTTTTTAATCAGTTTATGTTATGATGAATCTATGTTTGTTTGTTTTTTTTCAGATTTTTCGTGCAAAAAATAATAAACAATATTACTACATATTTATATAAATGTATTGTTTTTTTCTTTCCTCTTCCAGTCAACAAAACGGAATATTCCGATGCTCTTTGTCCGGGGAGATGGTGTTGTACTAGTTGCCCCTCCATTGAGAGTTGGCTGAAACAAAGAATTTATCCTGTATGGAAAATAGGAGACTTTGTATGATTGCCTCTTTAAATGTAGAAGATATTAAAAAAACCTGCGTGAATTTTGATACTAAGAAATGACCAAGGATTCTTCCACTCCTGAAACGAGTTGATTTGCAGATAACTTACAAATTCGTAAGCTAAATGGCATTTTTATTTTTCTCTAACCCTCCAATAAATGTGATCACCAAGATGCAACACTTTTTTTTAGGAGTTGATTTGCTCCATTGTTTTTTCAAACAATTCTGATTTTTTACAATTTAAATTAAATTTGGTTTTCTTTTTTGATTTTTTTTAAAAAAACGCAGTCTCTTGTCTTGTGAATTCTTTAAAGTAAGCACATATCTTCCATTCACTTTATTTGTACACGTGTAGTGCATCAGCTGTTGAGTACTGAGACCTAGGTTGTCGATAGCTTCTTTCCCTCAAGTGTTCTGTGGAGGCAGTTGTTTAAACCAGGTTGCAGGACCGAGAGATTCGTGCTTATCGAATAAGGTATATACTCGTAGAGGATGCCATAGGAGCAACTAAAAGAGCACCCAAATCAACATTTGTTTTGTTTTTGTTTTTAGCTGAGCCATCCTGCTACCTGTTGGCAGCTCAGTGGCTGCTCAGCTTGGGCTGGACTCGAACCGCTGTTGCTCAGAGCTCAAACTCTTGAGCGAGCTCTTAACCAACTGAGCCACTCGGCCAGCCAAAGAGCACCCAAATCAGAAGTGGGGTAAGGCTAGGTGGAGGTGATGTCATTGTAAACACTAACAATGCAGTATGAGAGGAAGCACGATTTCTGTTACTTCTGTCTGGCCTGATTTATTTCTGAGGTTAGGCTTCAGTGGTTATATACCTGTGTGGTTCAGCTTGGTCTTATCCACTAATGCTGCACATATTTTATGACTCGAAGAAACGATTTTTCCATTCTTGGATCACAAGCTATGAATGATGAGAGAGGTCTAAAACAATATATCTCAGTGGCATAATAAAACAAAGTGGCTAAAAGCAAAGCTATTTTTATTTCTAGCTTCAGCCAGTCAGCATTTAATGCTTGAAAGATAAGGCATACGTATGTTGTAATCTCTAAAATTTGATTAAGATGGCCTAGAACCTGACATAGTCCATTAAGTAGGTTATACCGCCTTTTTTTTTTTAGAAATTTTATTGGGCAACAGTGTGTTTTTCCAGGGCCCATGAGCTCTAAGTCAAGTAGTTGTGGAGGGCGCAGCTCTTTGGCCCATGTGGGGATTGAGCCCGCAACCTTGGTATTACGAGCTTGCGCTCTAACCACCTGAGCTAACGGACCGCCCTGACTCCAAGTCAAGTGGTTGTTTCAGTCTGGTCGTGGAGGGCGCAGCTCCGTGACCCATGTGGGAATCGAACTGGCAAACTTGGTGTTATGAGCCTGTGCTCTAACCACCTGAGCTAACCAGCCATGTACCGTTTTGAAATGCAGAAAATTCGACTTGTGGATGACTTGGCTGTAAATATGCTGAATGCGTTTGTTAATCCACTAGCAAGCACAATATGCTAACATGCACAATATTTTAAGCCATGTGCAAGAAAGATGCTTTTGGTTGACATTGTATAGAAAGGTTTCATTTTCATTATTGTACCTGTCCCTACAAGTTAATGGAAAAGGGAAAAACAGATGTGGGTGAGCTCATGGAGATTTTGCCTAACCTGAGCAGACGAGAGAACCTCCCTTCATTTCTACTGTCCCCACACTCTGTCCTTAGGCTTTGTTAGTGTCAGGAGGTGACCTGTTTACAGCAACCTGTTCATTACTGAAAAAATGAGACGTGGTTCTGGTGGTAGCAAGTGACCAATCCTTTGTATCACCTTTTCTGAGTAGGACTCTTGCCTCCAGGATGATGATGATACACAATAATAATTACCATCGTTGGTTGAACAAAGCACACCAGGCCAAAAGCATTTTGTATACATTTTCCTATTTATTCCTTACAACTCTCTCCTGCAGAATGCTACAAGAAACTGCCTGTGGTCACACAACTAGGACTTGGCAGTAGGAATGTGAATCCTCCCTGTGAGTGCATGGCGTGGGTGTGCTGTGGAGACCCTGGCTTGGGTAGTAAGTTGGCTCCTGATGCCCACCACAGCCATGGCCTGACTGACCACCTGGCCCTGTTGCTTTGCCACACCCTCCTGTTCTCTCCAGCATTGCATTTATTTTTAGTGGCTACTGATAGCCATGCTTAATTCTTAAACATTTGTTTTGCTCCATTGGTCACCTGTTCCTTTTTCTCCTAGAATTGAAAGGTTACACTAGAACTTTTGGCTGTGAGGACTTATTTACACAAGCTTCTAAAAATGATAAACCTTAAAATCTGACAGTCTTCATGTGCACATAAAACTCAGCTGCAACATACCAACATCCGCTTACCTCATGGCTGCTGTGATACAGATAGAGGGGCAAAGAAAGATTAACTGCAGGATAACCACCTGCATGTTACCAGACGGAGAGGAGGCAGTGTGGGTTTTGTGAGTCTTTGGAGCTCAGGCTGCCTGCCTGGAGGATTGGAGCTGGGACTTAGTCCACAAGAGGGCAGGTCAAGCAGTGTCCTGGCAAGGCTTCCTCCAGGTCTGCGGGGGTGCTGCTCAAGGGTTAAGCAGAGGGCCCCTGAATCCATGCTTTAAACTGAGGCTGCACAGCACTGAACTCTGGCCAGCTGGATAGCACGTGGTCATTGGAGCTGGTGTTTCTGCAACAGGGTGTCACATAACTCGAGGAGCCTTCTGACAGTCTTTCCTTTGGAAGCTTCTCAAGCAGATGCCATACCTGGATCTCTGTCTTGGTTTCCTGAAAGAGATTGTTATGAATTGTTATTGCCTCCCACAAAGAAAGATGGACAGACAAAATGTAGGACCACACATTCATCTTTGAGATGGAACGTGCCCAAGTTGAAACCCAAGTAACTTGAGCATCCGTTAGACTAAAATCATTAGCTACAAATAGACAATTTTCACACATTTCAAATAGTGATTTTTGAAGGTCTGCCCAAACTAGAAGTACCATTTTTCTGACACTAAGGCAGAAACTGGCACAGCCTTTTATATATACTATATTGCCTACAGTGCTTTCAGACTGCAGTTAGAAGGGGAGCAATGTTCCATTGTGTGAGCGATGCTCACCTGCTTTGGACCGAGAAAGTAACTGAAAATTCTAGGAGTCATCCTGGCAGGATCAAGAGGCTTGATTGATGTTTCTGTCACTCAGCTTTGCTGAACTATGTGACTTTCATTCTTGGACAAGCCCTGTACCTGGTAGCAGATCCAAGCTTACAACCTACCTGCCTGCCAACTGCAGCGGTCTCATTCTCCTTGGTTCCTGTGCCAGTTCATGGCTAGTCATTATGGCCATGAGAATGTAGAGCTCTGATTGGCCAGGTCTGAGCCACATGCCCAACCTGGAACTAAAAGCAAGATTATTCCCACTTGATCCATATGGTTTGAGTGTGGAGAGGGGTAGTTCTCTAAAGGGAACCAGAGGAAAGGGTGGATGGAAGCTGGAGACAAAGAATGCCTATTATGTAAGGATACCTTGTAGTCTCTGCTAACTTGTAGAAAAATAAATCCTTTTGGTCCTTATTATTAATAAGTTTCTTGGAACATAACTCAGATACTGACTTGAAGCCGTTGCTCTGGAATTTATTAGGAGGCCCTGGAGCACCCTGAGGGGGAAGCAGTGTGGATGAAGCTAAGATTTGTTTGGTGACTGGGCCTGATGGTAGCTGGAGTCCTCTTAGGGGGTCTAGGTGGGGGACCTGCAACACAGGAGGGTGTTTGAGAGTAGGTATTGGGGTCCTTGGTGTTCTGAGGAGGGCAGAATACTTGCGTGATGTGAGTGAATAACACAGCTCCATGAGACAAGTTGGTGTTTATGAGCAGGGACAGTATTCACAGCCCATGACATGGGCCTGGCCAAGAGTTTGTCCTCGGTAAATGCTGACTGACTGAGTAATTAATGACAACACTATGGATGGAAGGGGCAAAGGGTACTTTATCCCCCCAGCTTTATTGAGGTGTAATTGAAAAAATTGTAAGATATTTAAAGTGCATTGTGGTGATTTGATATACATTGTGAAAGGACTCCCACCATCTCATCAATATATCCATCAACTCACATATTTATTTTATTTTTTGTTTATTTTTTTTGTGAGAACATTTAAGTTCTCAGCAAATTTCAATGATGTAATACAGTTTTGTCAACTATAGTCACCATGTTTTACATTAAATCCTCACACCTATTCATCTTATACCTGAAAGTTTGTACAATTTTACCAATCTCTCTCCATTTCCCCACCCCCCATTTGTACTCTTAAGAGTTTGACTTTTTTTTAAAAAATCGAGATTCCACATATAAGTGATACCATACAATATTTGTCTCTGTCTGACTTATTTCACTTAGCATAACGCCTCCAAGATCTATCCATGTTTTTGCAAATGGCAAGATTTCCATTTTTCTCATGGCTGAATAATACTCCATTGTATTTATATACCACAACTTCTTTATCCATTCTGGGCAAATGGTACTGTCAAAGGTGAACTTTGCACATTATTTTCCAGATACTTATGATGCCCTCCCACAACTGGACAATGTTTCCCACTTTTTTGCCCTTCTAGCTGTCTTGTCCCCAATTACCATTTACCTGATAATAGCAGTATATGCCAACTAGTTATCAATTTACATGGAAAATTAACACCAAGAAATGAGGAAGCCAAGGCCAAATGTTTTAAATTCCTTTTAGAGTCATTGCTCAATTTTAATACCTGGAGCATGTAGATTCTTATTTTCTTGGCTATTTCTAGAAGCTTCCTGGACGTGGAAGCAACATGCCCCACTGCAGTTTCTGATATTGATTACTCCAGAGGAATTTTTTCTTGGCGCTCATCCCACCCACCTACAGTCTATGGGGATTTGGGCTCTGGGTGTTGACATGACCCCCAGATTTGCCCTTGGTGGGTTGGAAAACTGACCATAGATTCTGGAAGTATGGTGGAGTCAAATAAACTTAGCTTCAAATCCCAGCTGTGCTACATACCACCTGGGCAAATTACGTATGTGCTAAGATTAGCTGTAAGGATTGGGAAACTTAATGTAAGAAGCCCAGGACAATGCCTGGAATATTATTGACACATCATGGACACCAGGTTCAGAAGTCAGAAGTGGAGGCAGTATTGGGAGGCCAGTTCAGTTT